CCATTAGCCTTCTTGGCAACAAGGGCACACTGTCGACTCATATCCAGCTTCTTGTCCACTGTAACCCCTAGGTCCTTTTCTGCAGAACTGCTGCCTAGCCACTCGGTCCCTAGTCTGTAGCAGTGCATGGGATTCTTCCGTCCTAAGTGCAAGACATAGAAAAAAGAAACCACAACAACTGACTCTGCTGGAAATTGCCTTCCCTGGACTCAGTGAGAAGATTCCAGGTAGAATTCCCCCAGGGACTTTGCTGGCTCAGAAAGAGCAAGCTGGGGTGCAGCTGGAAGAAGGCGTTATAAGACAGGCTCCAATCTTTTACATGCGGTGCCTGTAGATCTGAACCCCTTCCATAAAGAAGGGCCATGGAGGAGATATTCCAAATGATGGTGAATCAACAGCAGGTGGAAAATGAAAGGAATCGCCAGTTCCACAAGGTACTCCTGGCCTCCCAGCAATGCTTGCAGGAAGCCTAGCTATCTGAGCTTGAGTGGAACAGACTGTTCCAAGAGGAGATGGGCTGCTTACTCTCATAGCAGCTGTGGGGAGACAGAAACAGCCATGTCTCATCTTGACCAAGATGGGCAGCACTGATGACCCAGAGGCCTACCTGATCACCTTTGAGTGGGCTGGGAGAAGAGTTCCTGGGCAGCGTGGCTGGTCCCATAACTCACTGGTGAGGCCCAAGCAGCATATTGGTCCCTGAGTGTGGATGAAGCACAATCCTATGCAATACAAAAGGCTGCCATCATGGACCACCCTGGTCTTTCTACAGAAGCTTACTGGAAGATATTTTGGTTGGAGACATTCCTTAATGGGGCATGCCCCTGGGCAATAGCTCAGTGGCTCTGGGACTATCCAATGGCTAAAACTAGAGTCCGAGACAGTGGTGGGGCATATTGGTCTAGAACAATACCCACCCATTCTCTGTATGGTGGTACAAGCCTGGGTTCAATGGTTTTGGCCTGCATCCATGGCAGAGGTGGTCGAGACAACTGAGGGATTAATGGAGGATGAATTACCTACGGCTGGGAAGGCCAGACTCTCGGTCAGCTAGCCACATTTAGAAAGGCAGTGAGAGAGAACCTACCAACCCAGCGAGAGTCTACCAAAATTTTACCCCATCCATGGGACCCTACACCCAGAACAGGCTTCCAAGGAACCACCATTGCTCTCCTGTGAATGGCTCTGGTATGTTATCATTGCAGGCAACCTGGGCTCATCCAACAGGGAATGTCCCATGATGGAATGTGACAATATAATAAAGGGGCTAGAGCCAGGGAATTCCAGTCTGGGGACCGAGTGCTCCTACTTCTTCCCAGCTCAGAGAGTGGGGTAGGGACAGACCTGGGAAAGTTTTGATCTTCTTTGTTGAGGAGACTTGGAATAAAAGGCAAAAGAAACCACAACAACTGATCGTGCTGGAAACTACTTTCCCTGGACTCGACGAGAAGGTTCCAGGCTGAGTTCCCCCAGGGAGGGCCCTGGCTCAGCAAGAGCCAGCCAGGGTCCAGTTGGAAGAGGGTACTATAAGACAGGCGTCAATCTCTTACAGGCCCAGTCCACCAAACCTTTGCATGAGTGGTCCTTACTCATGTGAGTAGTCCCATTGTGTTTGCAGGAGTGATTCCTTAGTGATTTCTGGTTTAGGGCTTTGCCCTTAAGGTAATGCTAACCCAGAAATGATTGTTGGAATCAATGTTATAAGTCGAGCACCATGACATTGTTTTATAATTTTACATTTATTTTTTGGGAATTACTTGTTTCATTTTATCCATTAAAACTGTTTTATTTTATTATATTTACGTGAATAAAATAACTCAAATGACCGTACATAAATAAAACTAGTGTATAAATCCATGTTTATGTATACTACATCATTTTATTAAGCACTATTCGTTATTCCATGTCTTCAGGCCTCACCAACCCTATCACAGTTAGTCACCCCAAAATACTCTGGACAGCTCCTGAACACTGGCCATAGCACTTCCCCAAAATAATTCCTGGAGCATATCTTTTAGAAAAAAACATCCAGTCTTGATTTAAAAATTGCCAGTGATGGAGAATCCACCATAACTCTTAGTAAATTGTTCCAATGGCATTACGTTCACTAATAAAATTTTACACCTTATTTCCAGTCTGAATTTGTCTAGCTTCAACTTCCAATCTTTGGATTGTGTTATAACTTTGTCTGCTAGATTGAAGAGCCTATTATCAAATATTTGTTCCTCATGTAGGTACTTGAAGAATGTAATCAAGTCACACCTTAACCTTTTATTTGTTTAAGCTAAATAGATTCAGTTCCTTGAGTCTATCACTATAAGGCATGTTTTCTAATCTTTTAATCATTTTCATAGCTCTTCTCTGAACCCTCTCCAATTTGTCAACATTTTTCTTGAGTTGGACACTAGAACTGGACACAGTATTTCAGCAGGGGTCACATTAGTGCCATATACAGATATAAACTAATCTCTCTACTCCTACTCAAGCTTCCCCTGTTTTATGTTTAAGGATTGCCTTTGTCCTTTTGGCCACAGTGTTGCACTGGGATTTTTATGTTCAGCTGATTATCCAGCGTGACCTCCAAGTCTTTTTCCGAGTCACTGCTTCCCAGGTTAGAGTTCCCCATCCTGTAAGTATGCCCAGCATTCGTTGTTACTAGATGTATATCTTTACATTTGGCCATATTAAAAGCATTTATTTTTTGCTTGCACCCATCTTACCAAATGATCCGGATTGCTCTGTCTTAGTGACCTGTCCTCTTCATTATTTACCACTCCCCCAATTTTTATATAATCTGCAAACTTTATCAGTGATGATTTTGTTTTCTTCCAGGCCATTGATAAAAATGTTAAATAGCATAGAGCCAAGAAGTGATCCTTGTTGGACCTCATTAGAAATGTACCCATTTGAAGATTCCCTGCTTACAATTACATTTTGAGACCTATCTATTAGCCAGCTTTTAACCAATTCAATGTGTGCCACATTAATTTTGTATTGTTCTAGTTTTTTAATCAAAATGTCATGTGGTACCAAGTGAAATGCCTTAAAGATGTCAAAATATATTACATTAACACTATTACCTTTATCACCCAAACTTATAATGTAATAAAGAAAAAAAATTCAAATTACTTTGACAGGGTCTATTTTCTATAAACTCATGTTGGCATTCATTGTATTACCTTTCTTTAATTCTTTATTAATCTTTCCATTATTTTGCCTGAAATTGCTGCAGGCTGATAGACCTATAGTTACCCGGGTCATCTCATTTATCCTTTTAAAATATTGGCACAACAGTTATACCAATGTTGTTAAACTGATATAGTTATGCTGGTGGTATCCCCAGGTGGACATACTTATCCCAGAATAAGAGTGCGGGTTTTTTGGTTTAGCTTAAACCCCTTCCAAAGTGATACAAGCTAAACTGAAAAAAGGCACTTTCATACTCGAGTGTCCACATAGGGAGTTGTTATGTTGTAATTATATTGGTTTAAATTCACACCTTAGCTTATAACTTTATTGTGTAGACAAGCATTTCTGGACCTCAGTTGTCCTTCTCTAAAATGGCCGTAGTAGCGCTTCCCTGTCTTACTATGATTTTGGGAACATAAACACATTAAAGACTGTGAAGGTGTCAGATACTTTGGTAATGGGTGCCATATAAGAACTTAAAATGGATAGTGGGAGTAATGGTAGTAAACACTGTGCCAGGTAATAAGAGTTGGCAAGATGAGGACTATTGTTTGTATTATTACAACACAAGCAACAAAACATGCTTGATATTTCTCAATGTTTTACTGGAAAAACTTCAAAATTGAGTACAGTCCATTATTGGCAATATCTTAAGGGGAAGGGGCACACTTGTGAATCCTACTGCACTAAATTAAATGTTAATAGGTGAGGAGTGGTCACAAGTGGTTCCTGATGGGTTATAGAACAGTTAACCGAGAACATTGTATCAAAATATGCAAACAGACTGCCAGTCAGTCATACAGAAGATCGTTCCATAGTTTTATTGGTCAATGATCTTAATAAATACACATACACACGCAATCATCAAAGCATAAGTAAGTATACTGCTATGGTCTGCACATTGAATCAGTTTTTGTCTTTTTTGTCTTTTCACTAACCTATGGAAGAAAAGAGTCAATTTCTGCAATGGTTTCTAATTCTAACCATCAGAGGGATGAGGTTCTGGAACAGTCTCCCAATAGGAGTCGGGAGTGGGGGGGGCGGAGGGCAACTTAACTTGTTTTAAGAGAGAGCTGAACAAATTTATGTGTGATTGTATGATGCGGTTGCTTGAGATGGTAGAAGGCAGGGACCAGCAGCCCTGGGCTCACTTCCAGTTTGTGTCTTATGTCTTTATCTCTCTTGTCTGTGTGTGTATGTGTATGTATATGTTTAATTTCCTTCCTCTAAAGGATGCATCAGGGATGGCCATGGCTGGAGATGAGTCTCGGGGTGGGGGAGGCATGGCTCTGAGGTGGCACCAAGAATTCTCTCTCTCAGGTGCGTGGCTGGCTGATTCTTGCTCACATACTTAGGGTCTAACTGATCATCATATGTTGGATCTGGACAGAATCTTCCCCCAGGTCAGATTGGCCATGGTCTTGGGATTTTTTTCACCTGCCTCTGCAGATGTGGGTCACTTGCCAGAATTATCTGGGTATATCTCACTTAATCATTTCCCTGCCATTGTGGGGGCCTTGATCACGGGTGCACATTGGTTCCCCATGTTCACTGCCTGTGACGTAATAGTCTAGTCTCCTATAGTCTATAATACTTCGGTCTAATTTTGGTTATTGGGTTTAGTAGTGTTGTAGCCTTTGATATACAGGAGGGTAGACTAAATGATCCGGTGGTCTCTTCTGGACTTAAACTCTATGGCTCTGTGACTCTCTAACATTTGAACCTGGGTCTGCCACGTGTATATCTGAGCAGCACTTTTAAGATTAAAATGTTTTAAACATCCCGCATAATGTGTTTTATTTTTCTTGCAGATTAAACCAGTAGTTCATAGTAAAATACGTGTGCCTTCCAGGTGGCAATTGATCAGTAATAAGCCACGTAATATCAAGTAAGTATGTTGTGAATCAAAACTCTAGATTTGGTTTTAAATATTCTGCACCTATAATATATACTAAACTCCATATGTCTAGTTCAGTGGAAAGAGAAGTGTTTATAATACATTTCAGGTAAAGCAAACATACTTTGAAAGAGCAAATTCAGTCTTGATTTACGCTCCTATTAATTTAAGTGTAGTTTATATCATGTGTGAGCCAGAGCAAAATTTGGCTCCCTCTGTCATTGTAGAGGGAGGGAGGGGCAAGAGAGAGGGCATTACATTCATTATAATTATATTGATTGAATTTTTTGGCAGCAAACTATTTTTTGGAAAAAAATTACATATTCTAGGGAATTATGTGATGTAGCTTTTTTGTGTCTCAGATAATATTGTAAAAGGACACTTAAGATGAAAGTCATATTTAAAAAAACAATCTGTATTAGAATCACTAAAATAGATTTTTAAAACAGTGAATTGCCATGAATGGAGGGATCAAAAATAAGCAGATTCTCATGGGGGTACAAAAGGAGGGAGTTGCAAAGGGATGGTCACACTTGATATTGGTCTGTGATGAAATATACTGCCCTCCATATGTTGTTGATAAGGAAGCGTGTTGTATGGCTGCACTACCTCCAATACAAGTTTGATGCTCTGCAGGCAGTGGAAGCAGTGCAGTTCTGTTGCACAAGAAGTAGGGAAGGAAACACTGGATGTGGAGGAGAAGAGCCAAAAATGCGTTGTGCTTTAACATATGATGCCACTTTAAGTTTCATTTGAGAGAACTACAGTGGCAATACTCATAGGTTATTTAAAGTGATGAGCATTCCAAGAAGAGCCCTTTTCAAAGTTTTATGTATTTTATTTACTTATTTTTTCAACTTTTAAAATGTCCATTGTTCCTACTGGATGCATGTACAAATATTTAAGTTACAAGAAGTCACAAAATCCAAAAGACAATAAGATTATCTGAATCCCAATTAATCATTCAGCCTCTGCCATCACCCCTGCCAACAACTTATCTTTCCTAGTTGAAGCTTTGGAAAAATAAATAAGGTTGCACCAGACCTAAAGTTAACAGATTTGGGCTCTTGCAAATGTAGAATTCATTTTACACCTCCATTTGAGGATCCTACTCTAAGAATGGCCTGCCTTCTATACTCCATGCAATTAAATAAAGAGGTGTTTTTTAGTCCAGGAGTTTTGTATAATCTCAGCTGTTATGGTATCATGTGGGGAAAGAGGTGGTGTCTGATGTAATCATGATCCAATCCATTCAAGACTTTTGAGGTTAAAACCAATAACTTTTAAATTGCACCCAGAAGTAAATAGGAAGCCAGTGCAGTTTTCAGAATCCAAAGGTATTGTGCTTCTGGTGAGAAATGTAACTAACAGGCCAGTGCTGAAATGTTTAATCCTCCATAGCCTTAAAGCAGTTTAAAATAATGTCAGCGTCAAACTCAAAAAGAGTTGAGATTCAAAAATGTAGACTAAAGAGTATTTATGACATCATGTATGATTTGACTAGCTTCTTCAAAGAAAGGAAGAGGGTTTTTATTTATATACACAACTCTCAAATACTGGATGTTTTCCATGAGTAAATTAAAATAACTTAACTTAGAGATAAAAAAGATCCATTAGGTCATCTAGTCCATTTCCATTACAGTCATGGCTTGCTCCCTACAATATGTTTTCTAGTGCTTTGTCTAATCTGGTTTTAAATGTTTGAATAATTAGGGGATTATTCTACAGTTTGATATTTCTCACCGACAGGCACTTTTTCCTTTGTATAGGCTATTTTGTTCTTAATTTTATTCTATAAAAATTACATCATTAACATAGTTCAGAAAATAATGGAATTTAAAATGTACCATAGCAACACTTTTTTTTGTAAACCGAATTCACTGTTTTAATGCATGATCTCTGTGTTTTATATTAATTTTACTGAAAATTCCACTAGATGGCCCCAAATATCTTCCAAACCAAGCCTTCATTATTTTAAAATATTGTTTTAAAGTGGCATCCAGACACAAATATTTGCTCTTGGCTGAAATTTGACATACTGTACTATTCAGCTCAGGAATTATGATTATTATTATTTTTTATACTTTTTACGAGTAGTGTTCATGTTCATGTGTTCATGGGAAGCATTGACCATACAACAGTATTAACCGATACAGGAAGTGGTACTATGGTACAGGTAACTTCAGTGTGTATTTACAAAATATAGTGCACAGATGCTCTTGAGGAAAATTAAAAGTCAAAGGGATGGGTGGAAGCCCAAGTGCATAGGGTATTTAAAGCTGAACTGAACAAAGCACTTATAAATTCATAATTGGCAATTAATTTTTACAGTGTTCAGATATGTGCTAGGTGCCCTGAATTACATGTAACTAGTACCTGGTCCCTGTTTCAAGTGACATATAATCTAAGTTCCCATGTGATGTAATAAAACAATGTTGGGATGAGGAAGGAGAAACATAAAGGTAGATTCTCACGGGCATTGCAACAGCTTTTCACCATTTGGGTAGCATAAACTGGCTGAATTCCAGCCATAGCTGGCTAGTGGGGAACTCTCCTTGCATAGCAAAATTCTCTGCTGACATAAAGCTGGCAGAGCTGGCTCCTTTCCCAGCCCTCCCCTCTTGCCCCAATGTAGGGGCATGTCTCCAAAATGCTACATTCATTTTGCACAGATGCAAAGTCAATTATGGACCTTACAAGAATGGTGGGAGTTAGAGCAGGCTCTCAGCTACTATATATTGGTGTAGGATCTGGAAGCTGTAACTGGTGAAGACGCTCTGAGCTGATGGGAGAGAGCTCTCTCATTGACTTAATTACTCCACCTCTGCAAGAGGTGATAGCTATGTTCTCCCACCGACATAGCACTATCTACACCGGCACTTAGGTTGGTGTAACTTGTGTCGTTCAGAGGTGTGGATTATTCACACTCCTGAGTGACGTAAGTTATACCGAAGTAAGTGGTAGTGTAGACAAGCCCTGAGTTGAAAAGGAACAAAAGAAGGGAAGAGAAAAAGGGAAAAGGAAACATGGTTTTAATAGGACTAACATTTATGGAGCAGGTATTACTCACTGTGAGTGAGAGTCGCAGCATATGACCCTGAACATTCAGTTGCTACATAAAGGCCATATACTATCTGTGATCTTTATGCTAACCTCTGCTCTTGGGTAAATCTGCTTTTACGTAGTAAACAGCCCCAAGTGTATATTCCAGTCCAACAACTATACCTACAAATGGAACTCAGCCCTCCGCACAGGAGGAGTTTGACAGCCCTGTTTTAGGGCTTTTGTGTAGGCTGCAGTCACCTGATGCCAAGTCTTGTGTAGAACCTACCACATGGTTATAGCATGGTTCTGCCTCATGCAGTTTTGGCATTTTGGATGTGTGCCATACCATGCTAAGCAGAACCAGGTAGGTAGCACAGTTTGGTGCTTCAGTGTAGGCAGGTCCACAAAAAATGTAGTCAGTTTTGGATTGTTGCACTACTCATTTTTGTTAATGGGATAAAATCTCATTAGAATGTTAGTGGCATCATGAAGAGTAATAAGGAAATAATAAAACATATTCAGACATTGTTCAAATCACCACCTGTGCTTTATAGAGACGAGAGGGTCAGGTTGACTAATAGATCAGTCTTAGTCTTTTTAATTTAGCCGGTTTGAAGCAGAGAGGTGCTCTCTCTCCACTCCCTGGTTTAGCCAAGCTGTGCTCCCCCACAGCTGGTCTTCCTCCCTGGTGAGGAGGTCAAAGCTTTTCCTCCTGTTTCAATCTACTTTGGACTGCAGGATCCCTCACCCTTTCTAGGGAGATAAACCCTATTATCTCCTTGAAATTGCTCCCCATGTAATCAGCACAAGGGTTTGGGGGTGGGATAGCAGAAACTGCTTGTTCTTCTGAGAGAAAAGAACACCTATGCCTCAAAAAAATCTGGATGGAGTGTGTGGAGGTAGGGAGAAATATCAATGTACTAATATGTGGCTATTCAGGGGAAACAGGAGGGAGCTCATTTCACACTGTATATGTGTGACCTTGACTGCCCCCTCCTCCATCACCAAAGGAGCACATTCTCTGTCATTCCACAGAGTTTCTGTCCATTTTGTGTGGTAGGGATGCTGCTTTTCTGCATGTGAAGAAGCACAAATGCTCCTTCCCCTCTATAGCAAAATGTTCTAGGGCCGCTGGAGTTACTGGAAGCTGCACCAAGAGCCTGAACATTCTCTGCAGTCAGCCAGTGCTTACTCTTGGACCTGTCCCCTGCTGCTGATATAAAATACCACCCTCCCAGCAGAGGGTGAGGCTACTTTTGTAGAGGGGCCTATAGGGCTGATGGCCCAAATAGCAAAATTATTTTTAGAGAGACCAATACCGCTCTATTATTTACTGTGACTCCTTCTAAGAAGTGAGGTGAGCCAAAAAGTAATTCCAGCCACTCTTAAATGTTGAGTAGGAACAGCTTTCTAATATGGGCAGCAGTGAAGAAATCAATTGATTCTATTATCGCTTTTAAAGGATTGTACATTATTTCCTCTGGGATTTGTGAGGACATCTTTGGACAATATGGAGAGAAAGTAATTGAATTTTCAAGGGCTATATTCTTCTTGGCTTCTCCAAGTGGACATATTTCACTGACTCTCCCATCATGTCAGACAGAAACATATTAAAGGATACAATTCTGTCTTTTTATGGATGAGTTTTCATGTTTTATGAAATGGACTAAGATTTAAAACGTATTATTGAAATCTACATGGCTACACTACTAATGATCCAGATTACATAAAGTTGTCAACTGATATTTTTAGTTTTTTTGTCTGTCTTTCACTACTGAAAAAATATGGCTTCTTTTGTCTTTTGGCAGTGTTTTCACAAATGGAGATATGCTTATACCACCTATAAAATTTATCATACCCAGGTTTACTCTGAAAAACTGGAATTGCGTCCTTGCACTAATAAATGAAAAAATCTTTCCTCGCTCCGGTGGTGTTCATAGGTAAGAGTACAACTGGTAATTTAATACAGCTAACAAAAGTCCTGAGTCTGGCAATTTAGGATTCTTTTTGTATTCATATGCCACACCGGTTATTAATGACAATCTAATATTTTGATTGGTTATGTATGAAAGAAAACGGAATATCCAGGGCAGGACTTTTTCAGGTTTCTGAGAATTTGTGTTTCCTATTGCATTTAGTTCAGTACCTTTTTATATATCTATATTTAATAAATGTTCATAGCAATTGGTTTGGTTCATCAGGACACCATTGTATGTACCTTTTTGCTTTAAAAACCTGGTGTTCTGTATTTAGTACAGACATTAATGGAGAAGATTACAAGAGTAACATAAAAGACATCTTTTCTACTCTTGAAAAGGAACAGTCTTTATGGAAGGTCTGGGGTCAGGAAGATAAAATGGACTAGTGTTAACATAGTTGTGAAGATGAGATTAACCTATGCTTTAAGTGTGAAATAGTGGGTCAAATTTATAACTGGTGTAACTTCAGCTGATTTCCTGTTTGGCTAAGGTTGTTGTTTTATTAGTAACTGTTTGTTTTTGGTAGTGATTGGAGTGTGCTATGTGGTTTCGAAGCAGAAAAGAAGGCACGAAGGAAGGGAGAAAAGACAAATCATACCCTGAGGAGCTTGCAGTGTATAGACAGACAAAGGAAGGGGTTCAACATATATGCCCAATTTTAGATTTTTTTGGGTTCAAAGCTCTTGGATGCCCTTCAGATTAATGGGAAGTTTATTATCTTTTCTGCTCACAGATCCTCTCCTTCGAATTTAAATAAAATGCCCACACCATGGGCAGACTTCTGTCCCTTCCTCAACGTAGCAGTTCAGAGACAATCTATATTGTTCAAAGCACCCACTTAGGCCTGGTCCACACTAACCCCCCACTTCGAACTAAGATACGCAACTTCAGCTACGTGAATAACGTAGCTGAAGTCGAAGTACCTTAGTTCGAACTTACCGCGGGTCCAGACGCGGCAGGCAGGCTCCCCCGTCGACTCTGCGTACTCCTCTCGCGGAGTAGGCGTACCGGTGTCGACGGCGAGCACTTCCGGGATCGATTTATCACGTCTAGACAAGACGCGATAAATGGAACCCAGAAGATCGATTGCTTACCGCCGGACCCGGAGGTAAGTATAGACGTACCCTTAGGAAACAGCTTTAAACTGTGAAACCATTCTAATGGTTACACCAGAAAATATATTATATCCTCACATATGGTAATTCAAAAATGGCTCAACCCTTCTTTCTCAAATTTTCCAGGAAAATGTCCCATTAGGTTAAGCGTGTAAAGTTTTGGCACTGTAAGCAGTTTCATTCAGTGCCTCCTGGTGTCAGAGCATGGTATTGCAGGGTCTTTGCCTCTAGTGCCCTCTGTTGATCTTTTGGCTCTGTTCAGCCTGTTTCTCTTCACACCTACCTCTCTTGCTAAGTCATGTCTAGTCTGGACCCCCTTCAGGGATAACAAAAATCCAAACAAAAGTTCACATAAACAAAAAGTTAAGACTCACAGACTTTAAGGCCAGAAGGGACCATCATAATCATAGTCATTGCAGGCCACAGCACCTCACCCACACTCTCCTGTAATAGGCCCATAACTTCTGGTTGAGTTACTGAAGTCCTCAAATCTTGGTTTAAAGACTTCAGGCTACAGAGAATCCATCATTCACGCTAGTTCAAACCAGCATGTGACCCCATGCTGCAGAGGAAGGGGAACACCGGAACCCTCCCCCCAGGATCTCTGCAAATCTGATCTGGGGGAAAACTCCTTCACAATCCCAAATATAGTGATTAGTTAGACCCTGGAAAAGAATTCTCTTTGGTAACTCTCCATCTCATTTCTCATCTCTGACTGCTGGAGATATTTGCTAATAGAAATTGCATTTGCCATTGTAGGCAGTCTCATACCATCCCCTCATAAACCTTTCAAGGTCAGTCTTAAAACAAGCGAGGCTTTTTGTCCCCATTACTCCCCTTAGAAGGCTGTTCCAGAACTTCATTTCTTTGATGGTTAGAAACCTTTGTCTAATGTCAAGCCTAAACTTATTGATGGCCAGTTTATATTCATTTGTTCTTGTGCCAACATTGCCCCTTAACTTAAAATCTCCTCTCCCTTGCTGGTGTTTTTTCCTTTGATGTATTTATAGAAAGCAATCATATTTCCCCTCATCCTTCATTTTGATTAGGCCAAACAAGCCAAGTTCCTTAAGTCTCTTCTTGTAAGGTAGGTAGGTTCTCCATTCCTCTGATGATCGTAGTAGCCCTTCTCTGCACTGGTTCCAGTTTGAATTAATCTTTCTTAAACATGGGATCCCAGAATTGCACACAGTTTTCCAGATGAGGCTCACCAGTGCTTTGTATAGTGGTAATAACACTTCCCTATCTTTGCTGGAAATACCTTGTCTGATGCATCCTAGGATTGCATTAGCCTTTTTTCATGGCCTCATCATATTGACGGCTCACAGTCATACTGTGTTCAACCAATAGACCCAAGTCTTTTCCCTACTCTGTTGCTTCTAGATGATCTGTCCCAAGCTTTTAGCAAGAATTCTTGTTATTAGGTTCTTAGACCTTCCTTGGGCTCCTCTTCAGCCTGCTGTCCGGACTCTCTTCCCATCCCTTCTTCCAGACACTACTTCAGGGACTTCCACAGAAGGCCAGGTGTGGTTCCTCCTGCAAATAGAGTCTTCTCAGCCCTTTCATGAGGCCTAGATGTTTCAGGCTGTTACCTGATCCCAATTAGTTCTTCCCCTTCTGACTAAGATGCTGTTGATTATTGTGGAGGTGGGCTGATGGAACAGGCCTAGCTAGCTCCATGCCTCTTGACCCATAAAGGAACAGGTCAACCTACTACAAGCCTAAAACGGAAATGTTTGTCAAAGATATAAACAACTGAAAAATCTATAACTGGTCTGTTTTCTCCACTACCTTATTTACACTTCTGTTCATATGTCAGGAAGTGTGCATATTCAGATTTAGTCCGTACTCACTACAGTATTTCAGATATTCATAACCACAAATTAAAAACTTTTTTTCTGTTAGCAAATGCACTATTCACAGAGGACTAATTCCATGCTAACTTTGAGTTTTCTGCACCATAATTTTGAAGTCTGAGGTCCATACACAAAAATATGTGCAGGTTTGTGCCTTTTGATTTTGGCATCCACCTATCTGCGACTGGAAATCCTGATTTGCACATATTGCAGTAATTGTATGCAAAAATGTAGGTGAACAAATTAATGCACTTTTTTGCAATGGAACTTGGGCCTCTCCCTTTAAAACTAGAGTGCAAATCTTAAAAAATTTCCAGTCCCTCAACTCCCATTGGCTCAATTCCTTGCAAGAGGTTCCAGCACCTTCGGGGAAGTAACTCATGGCCCTCAAGGTTCAGCTGTTTTTGTGTTACAGTATGTGCATGAAAAAAATCTTGGTCAGAATGCATGTCATTTTCCGCATCTTATTATAGCTCTAAACTGACTAAATGGATTTTCCCCTGTTTCTATAGGAAAACCCAACGTTCAGAGACAAAGCATGGATATGTTCAGCCAAAACATGACATTTTTAGAAAATTTGACCAGCTCCTCAGCTGGTGAAATTGGGCATAGCTCCACTTAGCTACACTCATTTACATCAGCCGAGTATCTTGTCCATTGTGTCTTCATTTAATAGAAACCAGTTGCAACCTTAACTATAGCTTTTGCTTTATAATTGTAGCTGTTTCCTTTTCTATTGCATCATCACCATCATGGCAGAGCCCAAAGGGACATGACCTTCTTGCATATCAAGTGCCACTTGGATTGATCTCTGGCTGCATCCCTAACCTGAACTGACTGAATATTCAGATTATGTCCATTACTGGCAAACTTGTCATTCCATAGCAGCATTCCTTGGTATATGCACTTTGGAATTCAGTGGTCTTCCATTCTAATGATATGTTCATACCAAGAAAGCTGCTGAAACTGAACCAGAGCTGATGGAGGTGATTGCTGGGTTTGGCTTCAAATATCCTAATTTCTGATCTTGTTCTGCCACTTGATATGAAGCAGCTGAGAAGAACTGAAAATGTCAATCCAGTGTTTTTCAGCCTTCCTCAGTTCCCATGTTTCATTGCAATGCTGATTTGCAACTTCATAGCAAGCTTAATGTCATAGTGACCCCAAGAGGTTGCTGAAGGGTCCAAAACATGTCACCGGATGCTGCTTCTATAAGGCTATGGCTACACTGGCGCTTTACAGCGCTGCAACTTTCTCGCTCAGAGGTGTGAAAAAACACTCCCCTGAACGCAGCAAGTTACAGCGCTGTAAAGCGCCAGTGTAAACAGTGCCCCAGCACTGGGAGCCGCTCTCCCAGCGCTGTAAGCTAATCCCCTTGTGGAGGTGGAGTACCTGCAATGCAGGGAGAGCTCTCTCCCAGCGCTGGCACGCAACCACACTCGCACTTCAAAGCGCTGCCGCGGGAGCGCTCCCATGGCAGCGCTTTGAAGTTTCGAGTGTAGCCACAGCCTAAGTGTCTATATCTTTTGAACATCCTCTAGCACTATGTATGGTGCTCCCAAATATATAAAATATCTTTCTTATTTTATAAATATTTAATTTGCTTTCTAAGACTTAGCAATAAAATGTTGAATTGTCCTCAGTATTAAAATAGTTACTTAATTTATGTGTATAATTCCTCTGTTCTCTGGAATCACAGCTGTGTGGAGCATTGAAAAAACCCTGAAATTTGCACTGCAAGTCTAAGTATTGCATTATACTCTATTCATTGTTATTTCATAATCTTTATTTCAATTTCTTTTGCTTAAGGCTGTACACATTGGATGGTCATGCTGTACGTAACTCAGATGGCTTAGAAGATAATCATTATTATGTTGCAGTGGGCAAAGAGAAGTTTAAATCTTTGCCATACTGGCGTTCTTCCAGAGTTTCACCAGAAGTTCAGCGGTAAGATCTTTCTTAATGTAATAATTTGGAGGGCTTGATCATGCAAGATGCTGAGGACTTTGACAGTGAACCAGCAAAGAATTTAAGCATGTGCTTAATTTTAAGCATATGAGTTGTCCCATAGGACTTCAGAGTTTGGCTAGTTCAGAGTCAGAGTGCTCAGTGGGATTAAAGTCCATCATTATCGTTTCTGACAGTTTTTTGGATTTTCTGGATTCAATGCATTGTCTCATATTTCTTAGTTTGACTGTTGTACCAGTAACATTCATTTCACTGACAACGAGGAGTCCGGTGGCACCTTAAAGACGAACAGATTTATTTGGGCGTAAGCTTTCATGGGTAAAAAGCCCACTTCTTCAGATGCATGGAAGAAGTGGGTTTTTTACCCACGAAAGCTTATGCCCAAATAAATTTGTTAGTCTTTAAGGTGCCACTGGACTCCTCATTGTTTTTTCTGGATACAGACTAACACGGCTACCCCTCTGATACTTGGATTCATTTCACTGAAGTGTTTCAGTCCTTGTCAGTGTTTCTTCGTTTTGTTTTTAAATATTGAAGGCAAATGGTGACCTGACCTTGTTAATGTTCGTAGTGACTGCTGTCATTGCTAGTTTGTAGATTATCTAACATATAATAGTAAAGTCAGGGCATGTGCCGCCTTTGGGAAACTGAGACATGTTTCTGCATAACCAGCCTTATGCAGCTTCACCATTAAAAGATCTGCCATTTCTATACTGGCATATATTGGCATTTATTTCTGCAACAAATGTTTGCCAAAGAGTTATAGTATGTGATACTTTTAAAACACCCTTTCATAGTGCACATTGTTATTGTGATGTATTCTCTGAATTTCTTAAATTCTGTGTATTTTAAATCACAACCTTAGAACTGCATACACACACACACATATAAATATATATTACATTGCATTTTCTTATTACTTAAACACAGTTATCATTCATATCTAAGATGTATTTTCAATTACTGTTCCAGAGTGTTATTGCTGGATCTTTTACTTTTTTAAATAAAACCTAAAAGTATAATTTTATTGAATTTAATTATTAAATTGGTTTCTTTCTTGGAATTTCTACGAACTGCTTTCTAGACTGTAGAAGATGTCTGTTAAAGGGCACCGACAAAGGCATTGCTGAACAGTGACTAGTTTTCAGGTCTTTCAGGAATTGCTGAGTTAAGCAGTTTCTGTAAAGTGTTTCTATGGGATGTGTGTTGTTGACTGCTCTGAACTGATTGCTATATTGAAAATACGGTTGAAGTATCAGGCAATATTGGTGGGTTTTCTAGCGATCTTTGCTAAAGCTATTTTTCTGTCAAGTTTTTTAATGGTCATTATTATCAAGAGAAGAAAAATATCCATCATTTTCTCTCGGATAGTGGACCTGGATGCATGGTTCAGACTGTTAATCTTATGCATATGTGGTATGTTATAGCTTCTGCTTTTTTGTTTTTGTTGTCCTTTCAACTTCATTTTTATTTTTATACTTCACAAAAATACTACAGGCATTATTTTGAAATGACTAATTAATCTGCTGAATGCATGGATTCTCACTTTTTTCTGTAAATTGCCTTTTGTATATAAAGTGCTTCATATCGGTTTGATATTAGAAAATTGATATTTTTAGTGGGCTTGTTCTTACCAAGCTTTCTTTTATTAGTTTTTGAACTAATGTCGTGAATGTTAGAACCTAGACCCAGTAGGAGTATAATTGATGTTAAGTTACATGTATCTTTTGGCAGTTTTGTAATTTTGAAATATACAAGGGCGTAATAAATTTTTTTACAGTATAATGTAAAATTAGAGCTCTAAATATTAGCTTCCCCCAAAACCCTAATAGTGAAATTCAACCCTGGTGGAGATAGACAGCTCAAGGTTCTCCACTTTGCAGAATTCATCTTTGGGAGCACTCACCCATGAGGGTCTCCGTGCTGGTCAGATGTGGTAGATTCTCTTTGTAGCGATAGTCACAGTCTATAAAAATATATTTGGTTGATTGGTCACTGAAATACAAATTAGGTGGTGGACCTCTGCATTTTGAGTCTGTCAACTTAATATCTTTCTTTCAGACCTTAAACTGGATACACAAGAGAAGTTTCAGCTTCCGTTTCAGTCTATTGCTCTTGCTTTTTTGGGAATTGTTCGAGATTCCATTAAGTCAGCAGCCTTCCTCCTATTTCTGGGAAGTTGTTTATCCAGCATTCAGATTTCTTTCAAATGACTGTGTTGTATTAGAATGTTAGAGCTCATAACAGGGTTAATCCTAATAGATTTGGCCTGTGTACAGTATGCACACATTTCATTAGTTTATGCCCACATCACTTTTCTTCTTCCAGGAGAAATTGCTTGATCAAGATTATTCATCTTTTTCCAGCTGTAGTGAAATCAGTTAAGTGGTGGGTTCAGCTAATTAAATACATGGTAGGATTCCACTATATCAACATTTCTCTAAGGTGATGGGCAGTTCCAATACTACAAATCATTTGCTTGGTATCATTTGCTTGGTACTTTATTGTCAGTGCTCTGATACGGGTGATAAACACAATAAACAACTTTGATCATCTCATCATTCATAAGCGGTTATAGTTGAAATGTAAATGATAGATGATCAGGCATCTGCTGTTCTGGAAATTCTGGTGGCAATCTCTGAATCCTCCCACCTGTTTATATAAATATTGTACTTGAGTTATTGTAGTCTCAATCTGTGAATCCAGCTCATCTTTACTTGAACTGTAAGAAGTCTTTATAGAAAATGGTCAGTGTTTTGAATTTCACCTGAAATTGAATTGGCAAACAGCACAGAATATGGAGCACAGAGATACTGTGGCTATCAGAATGGGGGCCGGAATATACTCTTCTAGCAAAGGCTGCTGAATGATTTTGAAGAGTAGACCCACACAGACAATACACTGGCCTAACCTTGATGTGACAATTGCATTGATAATTGTAGCAAGGATTGCATCTGTGATGAAAGGATGCAATCCTTTGTTGAAGAAATAAACAATTTCTGGTAACCCACTGTTATCAGGAGCAGAAATTACACCAGTAAAATCCTGAGATTGCAAACCACTTTGAAAATTTGTAGACAGAGGCCCTCATTTTCAGGTATTGCAGCAACCTCTGCCAACTCTACTTCTCTCTGCCAAAACCCCCTTATCTCATCTGAACTGACTCTAGTTTCACCAAGGTTCTTATCTCAGCCAGATACTGAGAACACAGGGAAACAGTCATGTTCAGGGCTGATATAACTCAGCTGTAAGCATCCTTTACATCAGCATATTCATAACACTGTAAACCATAATGCCTTGCAGTCTCCCCCAGTTGCTTTAAATATACATTGAGTAAAAGGGGTCACAACAAGATTTTCAAACTGTGTGAGACTTCACAAGTGATAACACTCATGGAGGATCTGCCCAACTCAGACTACTGGGCTTTCCCAAAAGGAATGTGTAATCACTTTAATAGCTCTGTCCACTCATTCCTAAATGTGAGTTCTCTTGAAGCCAAGAAATTCCTTATCTATAAAGCCTCTTCTCTTAAGCGTATACTTGCTTAGATGGGTGGTATCTGGTAGATTGCTTCTTGTTTCTTTATGTGTATTGGATTTCATTGACAAGGCTGGGTTGAAGACTAACCCATCAAAACTCACCTAGAATTGCTTGCAATTGATCTTGTAACTATTGAAGTTCTCCCTGTGAATCATAGGTCAAGGCACTTTCTAAAAGGCCTTGGACATATTTATCTACCAGTTTGGCTTCTGTGCATGATTTGGATCTAATTTAGACTTGAACAAGTTAGCAGATCCTCCCTCTGAGCCTATTAATGATTGTCATTTGCATTTCATATTATTTATTTGAGGCAATTACATTGACTAGATGGGGAAGTGAGCTTCAAGCCCTCATAGGCCTTTTGTTTTTTTCTGAAGACAAGGTAGGTAGTAAGGGCCCATACAAAGCCTGTTGATGGCAATGGGAGTCTTATTTTTATATGAACCAATTTCCCCCTCTTCTAGTGTTCATTCCCAAATCTAATCTCTCCAGTGTGAAGCTGTTTATCATAAGATTGGTGTCAAATGAGCTCTTTGCTGCTACACTGATGATTTGAGGGACTTTTACCAATCCCCTCGTCTCCTTTTGACTTATATTGGGTTAAAGCTGAGGGAAACTCATTTTCAAGCAACACTTGTCAGAGTGGATAGTTGAATGGACTTCCATTTGCCTTGATTTAGCTCAGATGCCTGTTCTTAAAGGTCAGTGAACTTATTTTACTGGAATGCTTCTTGTGCAGTCTGTATTATCAGATACCTATAGCTGAGTTCCATGTGGTGGAGTTCTTACCACACACTTATTCAGTATAGTGACTTGATATATTTCCTGAATAGATAATTTTTTTAGAAGACTTATTCTTTGTTTAATAAAGAACAGTTTCTTCTGATAGCTTTGACCCTTCCTGGGGGTACCCAGAGCTGTGAGGCATCTCACTACGACCTGTGCCTGCCATGGGTCAGCTCCTCAGCTCCATTGACCACGGACAACACAAGCACACTCCTATAGATCTATTCAGGCCCCAATGTCTCTTTGCAGGTTAGCAATAGGCACACTCCAACCTCTAAGCATCTCCCTTGAATATCCAGCCCCTGATCCACTGGACATTAACAGTAGTCACAGATTTGCTGCTCCCAAAGAATGAATACACCCCAGCTTATCAGTTCCACCTTAGATCACTGCTCTGCTTAACAGACAGCACTTAGATATGGTTATAATTAAAACAAATATAAGTTTATTTAACAAAGGATAGAGATTCTGGTATTAGCAAATAGAAGTATTGGAAACAAATGTTTACATATAAAATACAATCATAACATACATTCCAGACCCTAGACTTATTTAACTAGATACTGGTATAATATGCCTTAGCACCTGTTGGTACTGGAATGCAAGAGACTATGCAGAACCTAATCCACTTGGACAATCTCTGAGTGGAAACTGACTGCCCTCTATTATTATCTCCTGTATTACAAACAAACTAGGTGTTTTGTGGAATTACTTGGTTTTGTTTGAATAGTAGCTAGAAAGTGTAGCCTATCTTCTCCTAGTAGAGAGGGTCTTGGAAAAAACTACTGGAAAATTGATTGGGACACAGAGA